AAAATAATGAAAAAGTAGTTAAATGTATTGTCGAAGGATTTCATGGCCAGAATCCCTGGGTTGTTGTAGGTTTTCCGGGCTATATGGCCATGTTCTAGAGGCATTTTCTCCTGACGTTTCGCCTGCATCTATGGCAAGCATCCTCAGATGTAGTAAGGTGTGTTGGAAATAGGAAAATAGGTTTATATATCTGTGGAAAGACCAGGGTGTGACAAAGGACTTTTGTGAGCTAGGTGTGAATGTTTCAACTGATCACCTTGATTAGCATTTAATGGCTTGGAAGTGCCTGGGGGAATCTTTCTTTGGGAGGTGATTTGATGTGCCTGATTGTTTTGTTATTTTGCTGTTGTAATTTTTGAGTTTTTAATACTGGTAGCCAGATTTTGTTCATTTTCATGGTTTCTTCCTTTCTGTTGAAATTGTCCACATGCTTGTGGATTTCAATGGCTTCTCTGTGTAGTCTGACATGGTGGTTGGGAGAGTGGTCCAGCATTTCTGTGTTCTCAAATAATATGCTGTGTCCAGGTTGGTTCATCAGGTGCTCTGCTATGGCTGACTTCCCTAGTCTGCAGTGCCTTTCATGTTCCAGAAGTCAGCCATAGCAGTTTTTTTTAATACTGCTACCAGTATTAAAAACCTCAAAAATTACAATAGCAAAACAACAAAACAATCAGGCACATCAAATCACCTCCCAAAGAAAGATTCCCTCAGGCACTTCCAAGCCATTAAATGCTAACCAAGGTGGTCAGTTGAAACATTGCCTAGCTCCAGCAGACAAAAGTCCTTTGTCCCACCCTGGTCTTTCCACAGATATATAAACCTATTTTCCTACTTCAAACAGACCTCACTACCTCTGAGGATGCTTGCCATAGATGCAGGCAAAACGTCAGGAGAAAATGCCTCTAGAACATGGCCATATAGCCCGGAAAACCTACAACAACCCAGGGATTCTGGCCATGAAAGCCAGCTGTCCCCCGTCACCAGCTGCGCGGGCGACGGGAGAGATAAATACATTCAAACTTGATTATGTTAAAAGGCAATTGAAAATATCATCATTAAAATGCCAAGGTAAAATTTCAAACCACAAAAATTAAAAACAAAGGTTAAAACAAAGGTTAAAATAGACCAGCTATTTCACAATCCCAAGCCAGTTCAAATATCTGCGTCACCCCTACAGTTTACCCCAATTGCCTCCAGATATGCAGTTCTCATCTGCGTTGCTTTATAAAGAAAAACAGCCGTTTGGTGTGTTATCTTAGCACTCTGGCCAGCCATTAAAAATGTAGTTTTGATATGGGGATCCCAGTGAGTCTTCTGTGTAATGAATGGTCCAAGGTATTGATTTCTCTCTTTGTTGTACAAAAATACAACTATACAACTAAAATGTGTAATATCCTCTACCTCTGTCACTGCACAGATACAGAATCATTCATTATATGAAACTTGGTTAAACCTTTCATGTTTAACCATTGTATCCATCTCTTCAAATCTGGTTCTAGTGAATACCCTCCTTAGATGTTTAGGCATTTCTGTCTTTAGGTATTCGGCTGTTTGAAAAGTATGTTTGAAGGGACTTAACCATTTCAGTGAGCCGGCTTTACTAAGGATGGCAATGTCTTTCTGAGCCTCTATATCCTGTACATTCTTGAATATGAATATAATCAGAGCACTGGAATTTTCAAAGATGTGGCCAAAGGGGAAGCCAAAGACACTTACATGTCCTCTTTCCTGAATAGGAGATTCATCTTTTGCCTACAGGTAGATGTGCATTCTGTTCTGCTATCAAATCCCTCATGCACACTTTTTTTAAAGACTAGCTGTACCTGCCACGCGTTGCTGTGGCCAACCTTCCCTCCCTCTTTGTTTCCTCCCTTCCCTCTTTCCTTCCTTTCCTCCTTTTCTTTCCCTATCTCTCATCTTTCTTCCATCTCTACCTGTTTCTTTCCTCCCTTTCTTTGCTCTTTGGTTACATCCTTCCTTCCTTCCCTATCTTTTTCCTTTCACTTTTTTATTTCCTTCTCTCCTTCCTTGCTTCTCTATCTTTCTTTCCTTCTTTCCCCTCCTTCTCTCCTTCCTTCCTTCCCTCTTTCCCTCCTTCTCTCATTACTTCTTGACTGTCCCTTCCATTTAATATTGTATTTATATCTTACATAGAAAGAAGGAAAGGAAGAAGGAAGGAAGGAAGGAAGGAAGGAAGGAAGGAAGGAAGGATGAAGGAAGGAAAAAGGAAGGGGGGGAGGGAAAGAAGGGAAGGAAGAAAAAGAAAGAAGGAGGCACAGGGAGGGAGGAGAAGGAAGGAAGGAGGGAAAGAAAGGAGGGGGATGAAGAAAGGAGGGAGGGAAGGAAATGAAGGGGAAGGAAATGAAGAAAGGGAAAGAAGAAGGAAAGGGAGGGAGGGAGGAAGGAAAAAAAGGAAAGGAAGAAGGAAAGAGGGACAGGAAGGGAGGGAAAGAAGGAAAGAAGAAAAGGAAAGAAAGGAAGGAAGGAAAGGGAGGAAAGAAGGGAAGGGAGGGAGAGAAGGAAGGTCCTTCATTCAAGCACCGTGGACCTTCCTCGCCTCCCCCTCCCCCTCCCCTTCTTCCTTGCTCCGTTGCTGCTGCTGGCACTCATCCGCCCTTTCCTCTTCCAACAGGGAAAGAAGGAGGAGACTGCCTCCACCTCCTCGACTCCACTCGCTTGTGTGTGTGTGGCCATGCATGTGCGCCTGACTTTAATGGCCAGCTGTTTCCCTGTGAGGAGGGGGCGTGGCCATGGGTCTCTGTAGACATGCAGTTCCTCCTTTGTAGATGCGCAGTTTAGAAGTCCTTTCTGCTTTTGGTTTTTGTTGGGTTTTTTAGTGGAAAACATACATTGGGTTGTTAGGGGCATAGTGTCCAAATCTGGTGTCAATTGCCCCAGTGGTTTCTGAGTTCTGTGAATAGCACAAACGAACATTACATTTTGATTTATATAGATAAGATAAGATGGAAAACCATGGAGGCAGTAAGCAGGCCATTCCTTTCTTTGAATATACTGTTTGTTTGTAAGATTCAGAACCCTAAATTGTTTTGATGGCTAAAGCTTAGCATTTAATATCTGTAGCTTCATTGTTTTAGAAGTTACTACATAACTCATTAACATTAGTAAATCATTCATATGAATTGGCAAGCCAATATGAAAGCTATCAATTCTTTTCTTTTTTTTACTTTAGAATGAAGAAATCTTTGAAGCCAATACTTTTCAGTAAAGGCTATAGTATTGGAGAAACCTTAGATGAGAAAATTGTCATTCTGTCTCATTTAATCTAAAACTGTTCTTTTATGAGGATGTGTTAAAGAAATCAGTCAATTATCTCTGACTTATCAAATTTGACAAGGGAATTAGTAGGTAATTTGATTAAGATTTGAATAGTTAAACTATATTCATATATGAGTCAACCTCATGTATAAGTTGAGGCCTAAATGAAGGGATTGATATATGTTGTAACCCAATTATGGATTTTAATATGACCTGTAGATAAGTCAAGAATCGTTTTGTGTAGAGGAGAAAGCACCAATGCCACTCCAGGAAGCCAGTCACCACATCCATTGCTGCCATTAGGCCAGCTCTAATTATTTTATTATGAGGACTAGCTGTACCTGCCATGCGTTGCTGTGGCCAGCCTCCCCTCCCTCTTTCTCTCCTCCCTTCCCTCTTTCCTTCCTTTCCTCTTTTTCTTTCCCTATCTCTCTTCTTTCTTCCATCTCTACCTGTTTCTTTCCTCCCTTTCTTTGCTCTTTGGTTACATCCTTCCTTCCCTATCTTTTGTTCCTTCTCTCCTTCCTTCCCTCTCTTTTTCCTTTCACTTTTTTTCCTTCTCTCCTTTCTTGCTTCTCTATCTTTCTTTCTTTCCTTCTTTCCCTCCCTGCTTCTCTCCTTCCTTCCTACCCTCTTTTCCTCATTCTCTCGTTACTTCTTGACTGTCCCTTCCATTTAATATTGTATTTATATCTTACATAGAAAGAAGGAAAGAGGGACAGGAAGGAAGGAAGGAAAAAGGGAGGGAGGGAAGGAAGGAAGGAAGGAAGGAAGGAAGGAAGGAAGGAAGGAAGGAAGGAGGGAAAGAAAGGAGGGGGTGAAGAAAGGAGGGAGGGAAGGAAATGAAGGGGGGAAAATGAAGAAAGGGAAAGAAGGAGAAAAGGGAGAAAAATAAGGAAAGGAAGAAGGAAGGAGGGACAGGAAGGAAGGAAAAAGGAAGGGAGGGAAAGAAGGGTAGAGAAGGAGGGAAAGAAGGAAATGAAGGGGAAGGAAATGAAGAAAGGGAAAGAAGGAGGAAAGGGAGGGAGGGAGGAAAAGAAGGAAAGGAAGAAGGAAGGAGGGACAGGAAGGAAGGGAAGGAGGGAAAGAAGGAAAGGAAGGAGAAGGAAGAAAAGGAAAGAAAGGAAGGGAGGAAAGAAGGGAAGGGAGGGAGAGAAGGAAGGTCCTTCATTCAAGCACCGTGGACCTTCCTCACCTCCTCCCCCTTCTCCCCCCTCCTCCTCCTCCCCTTCTTCCTTGCGTGGATGCTCCGTTGCTGCTGCCGTTGCTGCTGCTTTCCCAACAGGGAAAGGAGGAGGAGGAGACTGCTCTCCTGACATAGGAGGGAAAGAGAAGGGGCTGCATGCGGCGCGCCTCCACCTCCACTACACTCACTTGTGTGTGTGTGTGTGTGTGGTGCACCTGGCTTTAACGGCTGGCCATTTCTTCACGAGGAGGAGGGGTGTGGCCATGGGTCTCTGTAGTCATGCAGTTTCCCCTTTGTGGACATGCAGTTTAGAAGTCCTTTCTGCTTTTTGTTTTCGTTGTTTTTTTTGAGTGGAGAACATACATTGGGTTGTTAGGGACATAGTGTCCAAATTTGGTGTCAATTGCCCCAGTGGTTTCTGAGTTCTGTGAATAGCACAAACGAACATTACATTTTTATTTATATAGATGGAGAAGTCTTACAGTGGTTACTGTTTAAGAAAGAATGTAAACATTTTTCTTTCCTTATAAATCCTTAGGGGCTGGAGGCTGGTGTCCATCAGACAGTGACCACTATCAATGGCTGCAAGTAGATTTTGGAAACAGGAAACAAATCAGTGCTATTGCCACCCAAGGCAGATACAGCAGTTCTGACTGGGTAACCCAGTACCGAATGCTCTACAGTGATACAGGAAGAAACTGGAAGCCATACCATCAAGACGGAAATGTTTGGGTAAGTGATTGTGTCAAATGACACCAAGTTGCTCTCCATGTGTGTATTTTAAATATACCATGTTTCACCAGTGATCAGTTAGGTTGTGTTCCAACTCAGATATTGTGACTTATTTCTACATGGTTTCAGAACAACATCTTCCTGCTATTTGGATAAAAATGCTTTCTGTATATTCTGAAGGCAGATAATTCTTGGGTAATATTTTATTCCTTGTGATAATGGTTCATGAAATTCAAGGGCACGTCAAAAAATCACTTCTGTAAGAGAAAGATTAATACAATTATATGTGGTATGGAGCACAATGGATAGAGAAATAATTTGCTCCTTTATTCATCATACTAAGGACCTCATTAGATGGGCTAAAGTGTCCATCCTATGATGGTCCTACTCTATTTGTGCTCATTGACTGCCATCCCTTGATGTCAAATTAGTTCCAGCCAGGCTCTGTGGTACAAGTAGAGTAGAAATGTAGGAAGTTGCTGTTGCCATGGAAGGCTTCCCGTGTTGTACAGCCAACAACAGGGGGAAGCCGAGTGGTGGATGTTTCTCCCCCATGGGATGGGATAAAGGGGAGGCTAGGTGATGTGGGGCATGGAGCAATGTGTTCCTAACACCCATGCTCGATTAACCATGATTAATCGCAAATCCCATAGGAAATGTGTTGAGGTCATAGATCTCAGGATCATCCAATGAAGCTGTGTGATCAGAGAATGAAAGACACACAATATATGATAATATATGGTGTAATGTTTTTTATTCAGTTTACATGGCTGTAATGTGGATTAGGCCAGTTACCGATGAAAAGATTGGTTATTGGTTATGATGCTATCCAAAACCTCACAATGCCACTGATTGCTGTTGACTGTTTGTGTCTTTACCTTCTGTTTGTGGCCTAGCCAGAGACAGCTAATTATCAGCTGTGGGAAATAGAGTGCTAGATTAGGTGGACTATTGGTGTGACCCAGAAGAGTTCTTCTTAAGGGTTGTTGTAGGTTTTTTGGGCTATATGGCCATGTTCTAGAAGCATTCTCTCCTGATGTTTCACCTGCATCTATGGCAAGCATCCTCAGAGGTTGTGAGGTCTTCTTAAGTTCAGAAATCAGTACTAGGCGGATATGGGTGCGAAAAATAGTCACAAAGTATGTTGTTCCCAGTGAGGTGCTCTGCTGAGAAGCCAACAAACTCAGTGAGATTTCTTGCCTGCTGCATGGAGTACAGCAATGAGCCCTACATTTCAACTCAAGCTCTGCAGATGACATTAGCTTTAATATTATTGTTACTAGCTGTCCCCTGCCACGTGTTGCTGTGACTCAGCCTGTATATATGTGTTTTGTGTGTATATATTTGTATATGTGTGTGTATTTATGTGTATATGTGTGTGTTTGTTTATATGTGTGGTTTTGTGCATGCATTATAATGTATTTTTTTTGGTTTTTTGGCTTTTAAAGTCTCTTCTGCTGCGTTTTTCAGTGTTTTTATGAGTTATGCTCACTTGTTGGCCTGATAGGTGTATTGTGTCCAAATTTGGTGCCGTTTTGTCTAGTGGTTTTTGAGTTATGTTAATCCCACAAATGAACATTACATTTTTATTTATATAGTTTGCCAGCTGAAGTAATGCCATTAAATCAATTCTATTTGATGGCATAGTGACTCTCTATTTGATAGTTAACTTAGTAGTAGGCCTACTCATGTTGGAAGCAACCAAAAGAACTCCAGGAAACATTGAACAAAACCACCCTACTTTCTCTTTGTGAAGCAAAACACATTAATATACAGCAAGGAGAGAAAGACAGCCTTACTGATTAAATGCTCCAAACATTCAATCCAACCCTTATGGATTTTAAAATATCATTGAATAAGACAATAGCAATAATAGTTTGCACAAAATTCCTCCAAAAACCATTTTGTAAGTATCCTTCCTCTTGTCAAGAACATTCAGAAAATCCCTAAACAAAGCAAACACCCTTTCTACAGCAAGGGTGTTGTGAACCAGAAGCCTTAAAGGAGCCAAACACAAGTAAAAGGGTGCAAACAAGGTTTGTTAACAAACAAAAATAGCTTAGAAACACTTGAATTCCATGAGTCTAGCAATAAAATAAAGTCTGTAGCAACTGCTAAGCAAAAAACGCAACTTGGAGAATAATCTGGATTATACAGAGATATAATTCGGTATAAAAAAAACTTTAAACAAACCGCTTCAAAAATTCAGAGTTCACAAAACACAAGGTAACAAGGTGGGAGCAAGCAAAAACATAGTCAGGAAACAGTCCAAGGTCGAGGCATGTCCAAAAGCAGAAGTTAAGTCCAAAACGTGAGGTCGTCGTCCAAAAAACAATCCGAAGTCAACAAGGAGTAGAAGATAGCACTTACAGGATTCCAGGTGGTAGAAGCACGGAAGCCCAATGATCTGCAGTCCCAGACCCAAGGCGACAGTAAAGGCAGCAACAAAGTCCAAAGCCCAATACAACACTTTGCCTACTGCAAAGTTCCAAGTTTGATACCTTTCTTTTATCCTATAACTCATCATCAGAGGTGGAGCTGGACTCCACCCTGTCATCATCACTCTCAGGTGCTTTTGCTTCCACAGCTGCTCGCCACCGCCTGTCCCTCCAGCTCTTCCAGCGTCTATCAAGACTTAGATCACCCCAAGTATTTCCAGGTTGCCAGTCTCCCGAGAACCATTCAAACTCATCATTTGATGTGGGTTGAGTACATATGTCCCTGATCTCTTGTACATGGGTCCAGTCTAGCCCATCCTCCTCTCCATTATAACTTTCAGTCCCATCACTCCCCGTGAAAGTCTTCTTCCTCAGTTGGAGCATTAAGTATTTCATGGATCCGTTTCCTTTCCCTCTCTTCATCTGACTCTTGCTCCCGAGTAACCTGTTTCAAGCCTCTACTCCCATCTCCCTCCTCCTCCATCTCAGAGTCTGTAAAACCTCCGAACGACTCAGTATCTGTAGGTGTCATGAATATCTCCCTAATTCGATTCCTTTGCTGCTCTTGATCCAGCACCTGAGCAGCCCTCTTTCCCCTTTTACTACTAGTAGTAGCTTGATCAGCACACTGTACTACAACAAAGGGTGTGGGAAAACTCTGAGGTTTCTCATTCTCACTCAAGAGAACAAAACAAGCATGGATTTACATGCCAAAGTATGAAACATTTAGTAGCTTGAGATTCTGAGATTTTTCATGAAATCTCAGAGAGGAAAGAAGGGAATAGAAAGAGTTCCCCAAGAGTTAGAGATGAGCCTTCAATGCCATACAGAATTCCTAGTTTTTATCGTAACAGAAAGAGAATAAATTAAGTATATTGAGCAAAAATATGCAGATATGCTTTCTTTGCATAATTTGTACAGATGATGGCATCAACTTTTCTGGCACAGAATTTTAGAATCATTATTTTAAACTACACAGTACAAAATGAGCCCTATATTTTGTAGGCTTATCTCCTCCCCCTTCACAGCCCAAACTCAATGGTTCCCTGGCAATAGTATGTCTCATTCTCAGCTAAAATGAGAAAGTGGAAGAACAAGAAACTCAAAGTGCAGAGTTCAGCAATATTCATACCAAAGCACTTTAATATCAAATGACACAGCCAGGGGACAGAATCTGGAAAATGAAGGAATGAATACGAAAGGGAGCAGGCAGTAGAAGGGACGAAAAAGATTCTGGGAATGTAATTTTTTACAATCTACATAAAATGTTGAAATGACCCTCTTCTGCATGCATTAGGGAAAGACGTTCTATAATTACCTGCTAGATAAGAAAGAAATGAAACATCATATGGCAAGATGGAAATGGGAAGAATACTTTCAAGGTGAATTTTGGAAAAAAATATTTTTGTTTCTATAAAGAAGGCCTTCTGTTCCATTTTTTTATTGTAATACAATTAGTGAGGGTTCTCTCTTGTATGATACCAGTTTCCTTTAGTAACCTTGTGCATATTGAAACTCTGGGGTTTTCCTCAAACATTGTACAAGTTACATGTCAGCACACTACGGGCATATTGAGAAAAGAATATTAATTTCATTTATAGTAAAGATGTTCATAACTGTATATCTGAAAAAATAACTTACGCTCATCCATACTTTGAAATTAAGGTAGTTGTTCACTAGATCACAAGTGATGACAGTCCGGCTCTGTACAGACTATTGTGCAACGCAGAATTGGTAACAAACAAAAGCAAGACAAATATTGAAATTGTGGAAAATTTGAAAACTCTAATTCTGAATAATCTTTAAATTTCATTCAAAGACATGTCAATATTGAGTGTCATAAAATATCTGCTGCAGCATATTGTGAAGGGCTCTCTGGTTTTTACCTGACTGGAAAAGGGGACTGTCATATAGACAACTCTGCAAGTGTTTTTTTTAACAATCTCTATTTCCCAAAGCTGACTTAGTAAATTACTGTCCTGTGTTTCTTTTCCTTTTTTTCTGCTGAAGATGATGATCATTCTCTGCTAGTACACTTGCGCAAAGGGTTTTTTTTTTTTTAAAGTGAGCATTCACTGAGCAAAGAGTGAACTCTTTACGGTTCCAGCCCAGTTTACGTATTCTCCACTATGAACCATCAAGGCTGTTAAGATCTTCCGGTGGAGCCCTGCTCTCAGTCCTGCCACTCTCGCAATCTTGTCTGGTGGGAATGAGAGACAGGGCCTTTTCTGTGGTGGCCCCTTGACTATGGAACTCTCTCCCGATTGAGATCAGATCTGCCCCCTCCCTCCCGACCTTCAGGAGGCTAGTGAAAACCTGGCTATGGAATGAAGCATTCCCAGAATAATGGCTGAAACTGGCTACAGACCAAGTTATTGACCACATGTGGACTCAGTTGGATATGATTTTATTTTGGCGATTTGGCTTATATGTATTTTATTCTATTTGTATTTTAATCTTTTGTTGTTGTATGATGTTTTAGATTGTATTATTGCATTGAATCCTTACTGTGAGCCAGTCTGAGTCCTGCTACGGAGGTGGAGAAGATCGGAATATAAAAGT